ATTTTCATCTCCAGAATTAAGGATTATTTTAATGTTACATCATTGCCTTTTCTCTTTTACTTTCCTTTTTAGTTTTATTTTAGGATTCCCTATTTTTAATGTTCATACAGAGATTTAACTGAAATACCAAATAGTTTCTTTGGTGTGAAAAACTATAATAGTACACAGGATCCTAATGAGATAATTAATAATGTGAAATAGGAAGTAAAGTGCTAAAGGTGTAGGGAAAGTGGGAAGGGTGGGGGAAAGGTAATAAGGGAGAGGAAAAAAATATGAGAAACTGAAAAGATGGAAATAAAGTGTGTGTAAATGGGGAGGGGAGGAGGGGGTGAAGGGAGGGCAGGGACAAGGGGAAAAAATGAGAATCAAGACCTATCATGTAAAGGTACGGAATCCCAAAGATGAATGTAACTGTATTTGTATACCTAGATTGTACCAATAAGCTCAATAAAAAGAAAAAAAAAAGAATAGAAGTCCATTGTCACAAGCCGCTGAAAATTCAGAATCACTCTTCTGCAGCATTATTGATTCCACAATCCATGGTCCAATTCTGGACTTTTGAAGTAGGACCCTGATACGATACTCTGCCAACATCTCAGAATTATTTGGAAACAACCCTAAGGCCACAGAATGAATTGCCTTTCTTTTTCCTTGCCTGTGGATCCTGTAGTTTTACTTTCAAAATTTCTACACCCTCCACATAGACTCATCCCTCTGTATCTGTGGCTCAGGAGATAGGTATCAAACTCTGCAGATGCTGAAGTCCTCCACGGAAACGGACAGGTCTGTGCACAGAACCTATGCTTGTCCTCTCATGTACATTTGATTACCTCTAGATGACGTCTCATACCTAATACAACGTAAGCGCTACATCAGTAGTTGTTCCACTGCACTGTTTGGGAGATAGTGACAAGAAAAGAGTCCACATGTTCAGTACAGATGCAATTTTTTTAAGTGGCTTTGATCCAAGTTGGCTTGAATTCACAGGTGGGGGCCCACTGGCACAGAATTCAAGCTTGATATACAATTTGGGGCTCTAGAGAGAAGACTCAAATGTTCCACCTGGTACAGTGTGATTTCTGGCTTGAGAGATTTCAACTGGCTTATGTTCCACCTCAAATATTTCTGTTTTCTACAATAAAGAATTACTTTATCATAATGTGGATTTGATTTCTGAACAGATAAAAATTAACATAAACATTTTAAACATAAAGTTTACTTCCTCAGAAACTTTGTTCACTCTGTCAAAAGCACAAGCCAGAAAGATGAATGAATCCTGACACACTGCTCCAGCCGGAATTCCAAACAAAGGATTTTCAAGCCCGGTTGGCTTCTTATGCTTAGGAACGGATGGGAGAAAAATCTGTCCTTGAGAAAGTCAGATCCCGATTAAATATCTTTACACTCTGATACAATGCCAGCCGATCATTTCAAACATCTTGACATTTAGACAGCAGGAGGTTGCAGCAACTACTTTGGTGATTTCTTGCTTGTGAGGGTATCATATCGCTAAGATGAGCCTTGGGATCCATCTGCCTCCTGTGAGGACATCTAAAGTGAGCTGCAGAGCAGCAAGCAAATCTTCCTCGCTTCATTTCTCAGAAATACACAGGTCACCCACTCTCTCCCTCCAAGTAGGAAGTAGAATCAGATGGAACCCACGCCATCTTGTCCGTGAATAGTGATCTCTGGAGGTGTGGGGTGGTGATGGATTTAGAACCTGCCCAAATCACTGACTGTCCTTCCTGGACTACACCATACTCTGATCCTCAGAAGTGCAATAAAATACAAGTATCAACAGCAAAGGACAGGAAGGGCTGTGCACCGTAAGACCCCATGGTGTCCGGGAGCGTCCTTCAGGGTTTGTCAAGGTATGGGACAAGAGACCTTCCAAGGGAGCAAGACTCTACCGGGCATGGGAGGAGTTAGGAAGTGAACGTCAAAATGAAAAGCTGAAAAAGCGGTGGAGCCTCTGACCAGCCAGTCTGGGAAGTCAAGCACACTCCACTGCCAAAGTTGCTGCACGGCCACAAGGAGAAACTTCTTCTCTAGGCTTTTGGCGCAACATCTCAAGATGACCGGAGACTGCTGCTGAGAGGTGGGGCCAACCATGCAGACCGGATGGGCACAGAGCGGAAGTGAGCGACGCAGATAGGCAGCCGTTGGACACCCTTGTGTGTGTCCGGCACTGCACTGACCATGTTGGCCTCCTGAGAGTAATGGCTGCTGCCCACTGGCCAGAATTGGCTCAGTCCTGGCTGTAAGAGAGGACAGAGTCCTGCCAGTCTCCACTGAGGGAAGCAAGCGAAGAGGTTTGGCTAAGGGCCAGGCAGCCAGGAGCGCTGGTACAGAACCAGACCTCCCAACGAAGGGCCTCTCAACATCACCAGCACAGGCACTTTGGGCTGGACGATTCCTCATTGTGGGAAACTGTCCTGGGCATCACAGCAATGCTAGGCAGCTTCCCTGGCCTCTGCTCACAGATAGCAGGAGCCCCTACAAGGAGTAATAACCAACAGCGTCTCCAGACTCACCCAGTGTCCACGGGATGGCGGCAGACAAGATCGCCCAGGTGAGAACACTGATTCACCTTCTGCCTTCACGTACTACTTTGTTCTTTGATTCTCTTTTTCTAGCCCTTTGTCCCTCCCTCCCTCCCTCCCTTCCACCTCCCATTTCCTGTTCTCCTTCCCATTTGGAAAAGATCTCCCTACTTCCTACGTCCATCCTGAATTTTGCTCTTTGTTTATATGTTGGATTTCTCATAGGTGAGGGAGCATATGATGTTTAAATGTGTGCGTTTATTTCACTTAACATTATGTTCTCACGGTGTATCTATTTACCCACAAATCTCTATTCTTCTTAGGGCAGAGGAGTATTGCATTGCCTTCCATTCTTGACTGGCACAACCACAACAAACTGGCTTAGGGGATAAAAGCTTTTTCCCTTGTCCTTCAAAGAGCCATCTAGTGTTTTTCCTCTCCGAT